GAAAAAAGCAATGTGATGTCTTTGGGGCCCAGGGAATCTGGGGAAGGAGAAGGAAAGAAGGGAGGGGGATGGGAAGAAGTTGACGGGGGGGTGAAAAGACTCCAAAAAAAATTTGAGAATTTTGTTAAATCTTTGAAAAAAGGAAGCCGGGGAGCTTTGCCTTGGTATCCCCCGCACATGGGGTTGCAAACCCTGACGATGCCAAAATACCTCGCACTTGGAGTTCTCACTTTCTGGTTGCCTGCCCCCCCGCATTGCGATGGTTGAAGGTAGAGAAGGAGGTTATTTCCCCCTGGAATCCTATAGTCTGTCTTTCGGGCCTTAAAAATGGAGGGAAAGTGGGTGGCTTATGTTATGTCGGATTTTGAAAAATCCACACTTTGTCCCTTGAGGAGGTAAACGTTTTTACCACAAGACCCGAAAGCAGAAATTTCCTTTGGGGCCCCCTTCTCAGAACCCTCCATGGAGTCAAAATACCAGGAGTGGGTATGGAAACATTCGTCAGCAAAATAAAGTCAACGAGATAAAGTCATTTGATCAAATGAAATGGGGCCCCAAACGAGGGCCCCAAACTTCATCCTTTTCCCCTATTTGAGTTCATAACAAAAAAAATGCTTTCAATGAGCTGATGTAGGAAACGCTCTTAGCTTGCCAATAAGTTGGAAAATCCTTAACCTGTTTAGCTGTCAAAAAAGCTAGGGACCCTTAAACCCTTGTAAAAACCCTGTAAAAAAAAAAAAGAGAGAGGAGGGGGAAAAAGGGGAGAGAGAGGGGGGGAGGGGGGGGGAAAGGAGAAGAGGGAGGGAGAGAGAGAGAGAGAGAGAGAGAGGGGAGAGGGGGAGAGAAGAAGAGGGGGAGAGAGAGAGAAGGGGGGAAAAAGAGGGGGAAGAGGGGAGGAGAGATATGGTCCTTTTACTCGTACGCACTGGTAAAGTTAGGTGTTTTTGTTAAGGAACTGAAAAAATACTTGTTTGTTCGTATTCGGGTTAAAGTTATGGTCACATGTGTGACAAAATTGTCTTGTGGTGTACATGTGGGGGGGGGTTTTTTGTGTGTGTGTGTGTGTGTGTGTGTGTTTTTTTTTACGTGCGTTGGCCCCCCAAAACCGTAACTTCATGGGAAAATTTTACTTCTGTAAGCAACTCGTTTTGTTCTGAATACTAATTGCTCCAAAATTTTTTATAAATGAATTGTTTGAAATCTGTTGTTTTTTTGTTGTCTTCTGTTCAAAAGCGAGGTTCTAGGGTATTAAACACAAATTTCAAGTTATTAAAACAAGCCCTTGTATCCAC